AAAATGAGAAATATATTTTATAAATAATTTAGAGTTTATTTTACAGAAATAGAAAAAAAATTCAAAATTTCTAAGGAAGGTACTTTATCAAAAAAGTAAAACCTATTTTAAATTTATTTTTTTAATTTATAAAATATTCATGATCATAATTATAGGTTAACCTTTTTATTCGATTATACATTGTTGCAGTAATATAGAAATTAATATTATATGAAAGAGATTCAAAATAAAATTACTAATACTTCCTCATAACATATACATAAACCTTGACTTACTGGAATCTAAGAGTAAAACATTTTAGAATTAAAATGTAAAAACGCTTTAGGATAGTTATTTTAGTTTACTTCAATATGAGAGTTTAATAAAAAAAAAATTAGATGGTATGAATTATTTCTATGAAAATAAGATATTAAGGGTTTGTTATTCAATAACTTTTTCAGTAATATAAGGTTTCACACATATGATCATTATTTTAATAATATACAGAAACGAATAAATTATAAAGCATATGGTTACTACAACAAGCTGGTTTTTTTATAATTAATATTTTTTATTCGATTTATATTGATTAGATTAGTTAATTTAAACCATGAAAATAATTCTTGAAGATAGACTACAGTACAGAGTTGTTAAACTCTACTTTTAAAAGTAGCGCGCTACCGCTATCACTATTTGTCAAAAAAGTTATTAGCTGCTATTTTTTAAAAGTAGCTTTAGCTACTTTTTAAGCTCTTTTCATAAAAAAAATTTAGAAACAAATTTGTCTTATTTTTTGCTTATAATGTTATTGTATAATAAATAAAAATCAACATTTATAAATATTAAAAAATTGTTAGTTTTGATTATAAAAAAATTTAAGTAATAAAAATATAAATATTTATGGTAATTTGTTGCATTTTAATAATAAAATCAATTCAATATTATCATCCCCAAGTCAAGAGTGACGATCAGAAAGTATAATTATAAAATCAACAATAACTTTATCAGCCAATTTCTGTGAAATATTGGCATTTGTATAATTTATTAATTTGGTTTGAATTGAATTAGTCTTTTTGGATGTAGAGTCGCCTATACCAAAATTTTTTAGATGTTTCTCCATTTCCTTAAAACTATTGGCATGAACAATCTTATAAAATAAATACAATTAGATTGTAAAAATGACAATTTACCTTTAGATGTTTCTTTAGGTTATAGCCACTGGATTGATTTGAGGAAATATTTTTTTTACATTTTAAATAAATAAATTTGAAGCCAGTTTTGGTTTCTATATTTATTTTAAAAAAAATCTCAAATCTAAGGAATTTGTATTATAGCTATTAAGTATATTTTCTTCCCTGATATCTTCCATTTCATTAATATCATTTTCTAAATCACTTTCAACGATTTGGATATCCATAGGCGATGACATTTTAAATTATTAACACGTGATTTAGGTTTATAATACAAATGAAAATATAAATTACAAATTGAAAATATATTTCAATTTCAAAATTAAATAATAAATCATAAAAATTATAATTAATTATGATATTATACTTAAATTTTCATGTTTATACTTACCTTCATTATATTTTTTAAAAGTAGTTCAAATAAAAGTAGTTCAAAAAAAGTAGCGCGCTAAAAAATTAACTAATTACAAAAAAAGTAGCCGCTATTAGCTATAGCTACTAAAAAGAATAGCGCGCTACTTTAACAACTCTGCTACAGTATAAATATGTTTTGTTGTAAAACATTTCCATATATTTGTAACAACTTTCTAAAAAATTGTTTAACTTGCCGTAATTATTTAAAAAAATGTTACCAATATGTTATTTTTAAAATAAAAACAGAAGATTAAAATTTTTATAAGAAAGTTGTTTCAAATATATGAAATGTTTAACAACAAATCATACACAACTGTAACCATAAGCACAAATCCTCCCGCCTCCCCCCAATTGATATTTGGTGATTTATTTTAAAAAAATACTAACCATCTCTTTTAATTTTACAAAAACCGATAACGGCTTTTTCTACGTGGTCATTTTGTTTATAATAATTAATCTAACTTTATATGAGATAAAAATTATATGTTATAACTAGTGTTGTTAAACGGCTAAGCCGAGTCGACTTAGCTGCGACTCGAGCCTAGTTTCTAGTCGATAAAACGACTTTGACTCGAGTAGACAGTCGACTAGTGTAGTCGGCTCGTGTAGTCGGCTAGTGTAATCGGCTCGTGTAGTCGGCTAATGTAGTCGGCTAGTGTAATCGGCTCGTGGTCGACTCGTGTAGTCGGCTAGTGTAGTCGGCTCGTGTAGTCGGCTAGTGTAGTCGGCTCGTGTAGTCGGCTCGTGTAGTCGGCTAGTGTAGTCGGCTAGTGTAATCGGCTCGTGTAGTCGGCTCGTGTAGTCGGCTAGTGTAGTCGGCTCGTGTAGTCGGCTAGTGTAGTCGGCTAGTGTAATCGGCTCGTGTAGTCGGCTAGTGTAGTCGGCTTGTATAGTCGGCTAGTGTAGTCGACTCGCTGGGTCTGCTCAATTTTTTTTGTTTTTTTATAAAATCTTGATAATTGTCACTTATCTATGGTACATCTTTACTAAAATTTGATTTAAACATGTTAGCAATACTTATTTTAGCCCATTTACGTCAAAAAAATTCGAAAAACTTTAAAAACAGCGATTATGACAATTGTCACTTATCTATGGTACATCTTCACTAAAATTTTTATTTAAACATGTTAGCAATGCTTATTTAGCCCATTTACGTCAAAAAAATTCGAAAAACTTTAAAAACAACGATTATGACAATTGTCACTTATCTATGGTACATATTCACTAAAATTTTAATTTAACATCTTTACAATATAAATTATATTTTTACATTTTTATGTTATAAAAATTAGGTATATTATCCCTGAAGCCGAATTCGGATCCTGAGCCATTTTTAGTTATTACATGAATATTCTTATTATAATTTTGTACTCATTAATCAGTAACCCAAAATTTAATTTACCAGATTTTATAAAGTTTTTCGAATTTTTTTTTGACGTAAATGAGCTAAAATAAGCATTGCTAGAATGATTAAATAAAATTTTAGTAGATGTACCATAGATAAGTGACAATTGTCATAATCGTTGTTTATAAAGTTTTTCGAATTTTTTTTTGACGTAAATGGGCTAAAATAAGCATTGCTAACATGTTTAAATAAAACTTCATTGAAGATATACCTAGATACAAGGTTTCCCGTTGAAAAATATATACTGTGGCAATTCATTTTATTTCTCTTCAATATAAATTCATAAAGGATTATATAAAAGATAACAAATATTATAGTTTTATTTTTGATTTTGAAATAGATGAATTATAACACGCAGCGAAGGGGGGGGGGGTGTTTAGGGACGTTTCCTTGCTTCAGAAATTTGCCTGTTTTGTGAATATCAATATCTTTGAAGACTAAATAAATCTTTTATTTTAATATGGTTCTCTACTAGAGAATAAAGTAGCGTTCAGATATATAATCTTGAGCTCAGCGTGCATAAATTTAATTTGAGCAAGATAAGATATTTGCTAGTTGAGCAAAAGATTGTTTTTAGAGAACGTCTAAATATAAAAAATTGGCAAAAGTCTTCCATTTAACCAAAGCCATCGATAAAGTTAATAATTAGACTTTATCAAATCGCACCCACACTATAAAATGTGGGAATCTAAGTTTTTAATATTTCTTTGTTATCTAGTGAGGAGACTATTCAGTGATACATCACATTTCAGACCATAAATTAGAATAATTAATTTTAAAAGAGCAAAACACTGTATATAGTTTTGACTTTGTTATAATTTGCTTATTAGGGCTACTCATATAATCCCCGATCCCCCATAGTAGCTTTAATTCAAAACTTCGATCACATCTTTTTCGGTTAAGTTTTTTAGGTATGTCCGAATTCTATTCAGCAAAAATATAATTATAATACATACCTGACAATCTACAGTAGTTAGAAAGGTTTTTTTTCAATAAAATATACATCACAATAATATTTTTTTAATTTAAAAACTGGTAGCAGTAAATTTATTTTATATAATTTTAAAATCTATAACTAACCTAATAAAGAAATCAGGCTGACTCTCTAGTCTAAATAAGACCAAGCTTAGTGTTGATTATTCGCTGCTGTCTAGATTACTTTATTAAGATTATTTAATTATTCAAATTTTCAATAATAACCAAAAGATAAAATAAATGGTTATATAGAAAATATATTAGAGCGTTTACTCTATTTATACCAAACTAAAATATTTTTTATAAAAAACAATGGTATATTTTATTACTTTCTTTTATTCTTGTATTCTTGAAAGAAAATTATTTTTTAAAAATAAATTCAAAATCCTATATAAATTAAAAACAAATTTTTATCTATTATAACAATATGGTTTCACCTTTGTTAACCCGATCAGAATAAAAATTCCCTATTGTGGACCAAATTTCCAACTGAAGCCATATATGCTATTTCAATAATTTTAAAGAATATCACATATAATGAAATTCTCGTTATTGCGGAAGCTATCTTATTTATTGCACTGCCTATTTTAGAGGGACACGAACTGTAATGAATATCGGCTCGGTTTAGGTTTATATAAAAATATCGGTTTATAAATAATAATATCGAGTTTGAACCTTTAACCCTATCACATACAAAATTATAAGAATATGTATAAAGAAGGGCATTTTTTTTAAAATTCTACACTGTTTTATATTTGAACTGATGCACTTTTATTCTAAAAAGAATTCAATAATATTTTAGAGGCTGAGAGAGAGATAAATTATAAATGATTTAAAATTCAACAAATTCTATTAACAGGGTCCAATGTTATTCACTTCAAAGTTGGACAAACAAAATTTAAACTTCCCAACTTGCTAAATTTCATTTTAAAATTTTTTTTAAAACTTTACTAAGCAAACGATAACAATAAAAAATAATTTTCAGTAAAGATAACTTTAATTTAATTAAAATTTTAAAACAAAACAAATATACGAAGCAAAAAGGTTTTTGAAGAAATTTCCTAAGAAACTGGTCTGCAGAAATTATCAATTGATTGCAAAAATTGATGCTACCGGATCAGCAAAACGGTATGGAGGTGGTAGACTACACACAGCTCGTACTATGGAAAATGTTGATTCTGTTAAAAAACTCAATAAAACAAGAAGACCTAGGTCCTGTAGAACAATTTGTCAAGCATAACGAGAAACTGGTATTTCACAAACTTGATTGCATTTGATTATCCACGAATAGATGCAGCTAAAATGTTTTTAAAAAAGCAAGCCCAGGACCTAACCGATGCGAATAATTGCGAGTCTAATACCCAAACAACTTCTACGAAAATACACTCAGAGATTAGTTCATTTCATATGGTTCACTCCACGGATTAAAGTTGTTTACAGTAACCCGGCCGATGTTGCAGTTTCAATAAGAAAAAACAAGCTACCGCCAATTGATAGCTTCGTACTCCTTCAAATTTTTCTAAATCTGTCATGGTTTCAATCGGGGTCAAGTATTGACTGCTTGGATCTCGTTTTTATCAATCTAGGGAAAAATTAATGGTGCATACTATCATGACGTTTTACTAGGTGATTGCTTGCTATTAAAGAATTGTCGGGCAATGAATTTTTCATATTACAGCAGGACAGTGCTCCAGCTCACTGAGCCAGATAAACTGTGAATGTGCTTTCAAGGAAAACTCCAGATTTTTTTCACCCAGTTTTTGCCACCATGGCCCTGATCTCAATCAGGTCCAAAAGATATGGAGCTTCTTTCAAGAACGTGTTTATTACACTCATAACGCGAAGTTGACCATCTTAAATAGCGACTTATAAAGGAATGGAATCGTTTTGATCAAGGAATTGTTGATTATGCAATCAATGAATAGTGAGTTCACCTTAGAGCTATTTGAGATAATGGAGACATTTTAAACATCAGCTTTGAAATACAACATTTGACCCAAATTAAATTTAAAGGTTGATATTTTCCTGTATTTGTCGAATTGAAAATTTTAACAAAAAAAATGAATTTTGATGTTAGAAAGTTGGAATTTTGTTTGTCCAACTTTGAATGTGCATAACTTTGGATCCTTATTATAGAATTTGATGAAATTTTCAGAATATAGATAATATATCTCTCCCGATCTATAAACCTTAATTGAATTATTTTTACAATTGAGAGATTTATTGCTAAAATAATAAGGATATTAGCTTAATTGGCACACAGTTTATTTATCACTAAATCATAAACTTAGTAACCAACGTTTATTTTATTATTATTGCGCATGCAAATATAACTAATTTATAACAAATAAACAGAATTTATTTAATATAAACATTATTGACCATTCAAAATTGATTGATAATAATATCTAAAACAGGTGAAATACCAATTTCAGATTTCGGTGACAGCCAAAATTTATATCTGTTAAGATTCGGTTAAGGTTCGATTAATAACTATTTAATCGCTTGGCTCAGGCTATGTTTAGATCATTGCTATTTTACAAATGTTTTGAAACATTTAACTTAACTCTTTCAAATTTATGAAATTATAATTCACTAAATGGCTGACATAATTAAAACTCACAGTAATAGTGATCGAAATTTTCTTTTCCCTTCATCCTACACAAATATATATAAATCAGAGTCCTGCCTTAAATATATAATTTACAACTGGGCCCATTTGTTTTTAGAAACTTCAAGCCATGGCGAGGCCGGGTTGATTTTTTACAAATAAATTAAAATTAGATGGATCAATCTGTTGGAAATTATATAATGAATAATTTAACATTAGTCTACCGCTCATATGTCCAGGTTCTTTGTTAAACAATTTATAAAATACAGCCAAAATTATTAAAATATAACAAATATTCTGATAAAATAAGGATTCAAATTGATTTTAGAAATACTTTTAAAATTTTGTAAAAAATCAGCTTGTATTATAAACATTTAATCGCAATATGATTATATATTTGACTTTCAAAGTATAAATGCTATAATTACATTATATAGTTGGTATTTGTTTTAAAAAACAATTGTGAGTTCTTTGAATTACTATTTGAATACAATATATAAAACAACTTTAAAAAAATGAAATACAAAATCCATCCTAGGTCGCCAAATTTATACTATTTTAGGGGCCGCCATAAAGGGCCGTCAAAAGTTATAGGACGACTCATGCACTTTACAAATTCTATCGACCAGAAAGAATTGTTTAAAATATTACACTATTTTCGGTTGGTTTGATAACTTTAAGTTGAGAAGAAACCTTCGTCCCCTTCAAAGCTCAAATTAAACAGTCTTTAATATAGTATATATTTATATTATATTTATTAGGGATTTAATTTATTTCGAATCACGAATCAATAATAAAAAAAATAAAACGAAAAAATTGTTTCAAGAAAATTGGAATAATTATAATTTCAAAAAGTAAAAATATATATAGATTCATGCTATGCTATCACTTAAAATTTTTTATAGATTTTTGGATTTCTTATTTTTATAATATATTAATACCTAATCGAAAAAATATACATAATAAATATAAATTGCAATATTATTAGGTTTCCCTTTTTATTATTGCAAAGTTTGTTTTATTTAAAAAAATCAAAAGTATTTTAACATATTTATTAGTGTTTATTTTTACGAAAAGCAACTGTAACTAGTTATTTATTTAGAATGTAACGATCAAAGTAACTAGAGTTTTTTTTAATATAATTATATAATATATAATTTTAGTTACTTTTAACGTTAAATTAAATATTATATAATATTCTCATTTGTTATATATATGTTGATTTTTAAATATCACTCCTTAGTCCTTAAATGTTCTCACTTACTGTTGCTTAGTCGATGGGAAGCTTATTTTTGGAGAAAAACTAGCACACTTTTAGACATAATTGAAAAGAGTTCATTGTTAAATTGAATTTAAAATTTGCTCAAATTATAAATATTACATTGATTATAATAATTTTTTTCGGTTTTTTTTCAATCAATAATTATGTGATAAATATTTTTTCTGTGCAATCATTAAAAATCAGGCAAATATGCTTTTAAATTTCTTTGATCAAAATGTGTATACTGAAAAAAATAATATTAAAAATAATAGGTTATATAGATTATTTATAAAGTAACTTGCAATGTAACCTATTAATCTTGAAATTTAATTGTAACTGGTTATTTTTAAAATAATGTAATTACTAACTGCCACTGGTTACCATCATAAGTATTGTAACTCGTTACTTTTCAAAATGACTTTTTACAGCATTGTATCTTTACAAAAAAATATTTAAATTCTGCAGTCGTAAGTTTGATTCCAAATTAGACACTGTTTATAAATATTATTTCACGTCGAATTGTCTGTCATTCGTTTTCACTTGAATAAAATATAGAGATGATTAATTTATTTCTCGATGTGGACACATTACACATGATCACCCGGGGGAAGAGGCAAGGGGTTTCGTTCGACCCTCTTGTTAAATCCTTATACGTAAATTATGTATCAATATTCTTATAATTCTAAGAATTTATGATTAGATACTTTGCCATGCTTTCTAAAATTAAAATATTGTGTTCATAAAGTTTTTATTTGATATCTTGAAATTTTAATAAATCCTAAATACCTAGTGTATATTTTATCTTTGATAAAATAATTCATCTAATATATAAAACCAACAATGAGTTAGCCCATGCAATAGAAATCCGTCTAAATTGTCTAATAACTTTTCCTCACTTCTGCTCTGGCTGCAGAATCCCAGCCATGCTTTCTAAAATTAAAATATTGCGTTCATAAAGTTTTTATTTGATATCTTGAAATTTTAATAAATCCTAAATACCTAGTGTATATTTTATCTTTGATAAAATAATTCATCTAATATATAAAACCAACAATGAGTTAGCCCATGCAATAGAAATCCGTCTAAATTGTCTAATAACTTTTCCTCACTTCTGCTCTGGCTGCAGAATCCCAATAGACTGCAAAAGAAGAAACAGCTTACATTGCAGATCATACAAAGGACGAATCCTCAGGCACACCTAATGTAATTCCCAGCGAGCATTGAAATCGACTCAATTACCCGCTCTACTAGATCCACAAGGACTTTTTAGATCCCATGGAAAGCGGCCTGACAAAATCACCCTGATCCCATGGAAACGGGGCCAATTTCTGGTTTGGGACTATTCCTGTACAAATCCATTAGCTTTATCCAATCAAACTCCAAACCTACTTGAGCAAAAAGAGCAACATAAAATTTCCAAATATTCAAAAATATCAGAAGATCACATCTTATTCCAATAATATCTACTACCTTAACCTCCTTAGGTAAGCTTGCATTATCCTTCGTCAAGGATAGAGCTCACATCCGCATGCATACTGGCTATCCGCGAGAAGTCTTCTTCTTTATGCAGATACTGGCTATAGCTATTGATGGTACCAACTTAAATAAATTTTAGAAGAGGACATCAGGTTAGGGTATTCCTAGATTTTCCGGGTTAAATATAAATAATATTGATACCCGAGCCATTTGTATCCAAATTTTAAACACTATATTACCATAATGTCTATAAATAACTTGTTTAATTTATTTTTTTATAAATTTATTACATTATTTATAAATTTAGTATTTAGTTAGAAAGACAACCCTTAAATTACGAAGAAATAAGCAAAATTTATTTTCAAATAGTATTATTCAAAATCAAAATATTAGCCTAAATTCAAGAAAATATTAGCCTAAAAAAGAAAACGTATCAAATTTTTACTGCCGGGCTGGCCTATTAAAATTTTATAAAAAATCTCTTCCAAAAATTTATATGCCCCGGCCCGAAAAATTTTTATGTACGAATTCTGTGGTCCGGCTTGCTATAATTTTTAAAAAAAAATTCCTAACCAATATAAATTAACTGTTGAAATCACAATATCATAGAGGATTATGATTTGAAGCTCTTCTATACACTTAAAAAAACAAGAAAAAATAAAAAAATTAACTTAATTGATAAGGCTAAAGTTTAGTATTCCCATTATTATCTTAAAAAGTTAAATTTTAAGAAAACTGAACTTAAATCGAATATAACTTAATTAATTAATCGTCCTCCTGAATTTCTGTAGGGTGTGATTATATATCTTACATTTCAAATGGATATTGTGAATAACAATTATAGTTATACTATGCTAAAATAATTTTAAAACATTTTTTATAAACAAATTATAGCATATATGTCATAAAAAAAATATAATTTAATTTAAATGCAATAAGACCCACTTATTTTTTAAGATATATTAACAAAATGATGGGGTTCTCTCTGGTATTCCATAGCATGGGGCCACCTAGTTGGCATCGTCGTCCTTGCTGTAATCGAACCCAGAACCGGATAGAATTTCATGCATCCAACCGACT